ATCTAGCCTTATTTCTAATGACTACTCCTAAGTCATTCATTTTATTTTTGAATGCCCACTTAGTTTCATCTATACTTTCATCCTTTGACATTCTAGTTAATTCCCAAACTTTATTTTTTAAAAAATTGATTTAACTCTTCTTGCATAGCCAAAATCCAAAATTCATCCAAAAGTACTTGATCAATATTTATGGGTTCTATGGTTAAAATAAAGGCTGAATGATTGACTTCTTTATTTAGTCCATGCCTAGTCCTTACACCCTCACTAGGTTCTTTTGGGTAATCCTTCTAAGGTTTTTCGTGCTAGAGTGATAAAGTCTCCTATGTCAAAGCTATGACTCATTAGAAATAGTTTTTAAACAAAAAGCAATAGGAGTTTTAATATAATTCAAGTCTAGCATATAGACTTTGTTTACCCTTATGCTATTGAAAATATCATTTCCATTTAGGCTTAATATGCAGCTAGTAGAAAAAAAATTTACACTATATCCTTTATCACATAGCTGGCTTATCTTAATAAATTATGCTTTAAGCCTTCTACCAATAACACATTTTCAATAAAAAGTTTTAAGATTCCCAATCATACCTGACCCAACCACCTTCCTTATGGTGTTCTCCCCAAGTGTAACCTTGCCTCCACTCCTGGCTTCCAACGATATGAATTATGATGTATCTCTAGTCATGTGCTTTGAGCATCTACTGTCTAGGTACCATATGCTCTTATGAGGTCTTGTGTGAGAGCGACCCTATAAAATTATCAAAGGTTAGACATGGGAACCCAAACAAGTTTGGATTCTCATTTTGGCAATTTATTAATGGATGCATGTATGATATGTCTATGTTTATGTATCTTAGGCTTTCACACCAAATAAGTTTTCTTCTTCAAAGTACAGGTGTGAGCTATATGTCTAATCAATCCACAATTATAACATTTAACTTTTGGAAATAAATTCCTAAGTCTTCTACTATTCATCTATATATTAAGGGATTGCATAAATTTAGGATATAAAATAGGATTAGTGAAATCTTCAAGTTTATGGGGTATCCTATTATCCTCGAGAGCATTTATCTTCAATTTGTAAAATGAATTTATATCTTCCAAAATTTGATTTGTATAATTGATTCGATATATTTTTCTCTTTGATTCATCCTTACTATTATTGATTTCAATTTAAAATTCTACTAACGATGTCTTTAACATTTCATGATTTTTATTCAAGTCATCAAACTCATCAAATAATTTCATGTGGTTGTCATCAATTAAAGCATAATCTTTTCTAAGGATTTCATGTTCTTTTTGTAGTTCCTGAAATTCTAAGCTCAGACTAGTATGCATTTTCTTTAATTTTCAATATGCATCATGCATGTGTTCAAAAGCTTCAAAGAGTTCATTGTAGGTCAAGTCACATACCTCTTCTTGATCTGACTGATCAAAATTATCGGCCATTACGCATAGATTAGTGACTTCCTCTTCCTTTTCCGTCTCTGACGAGTCTGAAGCTAAGTTCACCCAGAAAGCTCTTTGGAATTTCTTCTTTCCCTTCTTCACAATTTATTTCTTCTCTACCTTCTCCTTGCTAGGATTGGCTTTGAGTTTTGGGTAGTCTGTCTTAATATGTCTGGGTTTCCTGCATTCATAGCAAATAACATCATTTGAAACCTTCACATTTATATTAAATTTACCTCGATTCCATTACTGGCGTCTTTTTTGCTTAATCTTCAGAAAGCTTCTGAATTGTCTAGTCATTAGTGTGATATCATCTTCATCCTCAGGTTGTGAGTGTTCACTCACTGACTCCTCCACTTTCAATGCTATGTTCTTCTCCTTCGTGGTTCACCTGCATCAATCTTTCTTTTGCTAACTCCTTGCTCGTAAAAAATAAGAGATCCAAGAAGATTGCCAATAGAGTAAATGTTTAGATCTTTAGACTCTATAATAGTAGTAATTTTAGCATCATAAGCAGTAGGCAAACAATGAAGTATCTTACTACCCATTTCAGTATTCGTTAGTTTCCTACCTAATGCATATAAAGAGGTGACTATTTATGTGAATCTTATGTACATATCAAAAATGGATTCAATTGGTTTCATGCGAAACAATTCATAATAATGCAACAAGATATTAAGTCTATATTGCTTAACCTCATTAGTCCCCTCATAAGTTATACAAAGTCTATCCCATATATCATTTCCACTCTTGTAAGAAGAAGCCCGCATGTAATCTTCTGATTTAAGATCACAAAAGAAACTAATTAAGCATTTGGCATTTAGTTGTGCTAAGTCACATTCTACTACTGTCCAGTCCATAAAAGGTATTTCAACTCTAACTCTATCAACAAGTCTAGTTAGTTTTTTATACCCTTCCTGAACTAAGATCCACATACGGTAATCTAGTGACTATAAAGATGAAGACATGCATGTTTTCAAAAATAAAAAAGAATATTGTGGAATAATGGAGGTCTAGTTATAGAGTAACCCTCAGGTGTATTTCTGTTTCTAAATGTGTCCATCTACGTTAATCAAAAAGTAGTCTAAACTTATGATTTTGAAATAAAGCTCTGATACCACTTGTTGAAACTGGTTCAATATGAATTAGGTTGTTAGACCTAAGCTTATATCCAGCAGCTAACCAAGAGGCGGTGAATTGGTAATTAAAAGTTTATCCCTCTTTTTAAAATTGAACCGATAATAACTTTAGTGAAGTTTTGTAGAAAATATTTTTCAATGACAAATTAAAAAGTAAAAATAAAAGCAGCAAAAAATAAAAAGACACAAGATTTATAATGATTTGGTCAAACACGACCTATATCCACTCCCCGAAGGCACCCTCCGAGTATTGCAGAAATACCACTAGTGACTCTCCTTTTGCACCCACAGCTAGGCGGAGAAGCCTTCACAAAAACTCTCTTCTAACATAACCCGGTGCGGTAGAGAACCATCATCCTTTTACACTCTCCAAGTGTTGGCAGAGAACCATCCATACTTTCACACTCCAAGCATGGGCAGAGAACCCTATGACTATTCACACTCTCCAAATATAAACAGAGAACACTTCGGCTGTTCACACTCTCTAAGTGTCAACAGAGAACCCTTCGGCTATTCACACTCTCCAAGTGTAGGCAGAGAACCGTTCGACTGTTCACACTCTTCAAGTGTCGGTAGTGAACCCTTCGGTTGTTCAGACTCTCCAAGTGTCGGCAAAGAATTGGATCTCCTTGAATAATCTTCTCATAAGAAATCTAGAAAGATGAGAGAAAAGAGTGAAGTAATCACAAATTACAATTGGAGATTCTTACCTTTGAGTTCCAAGTGAATCCTTCACACTCCAGTAGTAAGAATCCTCCTTTATACACTCTCTCACACTCTCTCCTTCACTCTCCATTCAGTTAACACGAAGATCACTAGAGAAAAAGATTAGAAGACAGTTTGAAGTTGACTTTATTTAGGAAAAACATGAAAAATTGTCAAAAAAATGCTGACTTTTAAATCTGTACAAAGTCGATCGTCCTGGACGATCGTCAGATTGTCCCGTATGAATAGTGTTAAAACATATGCATACGAACTCAATGTATATTGGTATGAACTGACTTCATACCCGATCATCATCCCGTATAAAATAAGTTCATCCTGGGACAAATAGTTATATCAAGGGTTCGTTCTAACGAAACTGTAGGACGGTCCCAAATTTTTAGGGAACAGAGGACTTCGTCCTGGGATGAACATGAATGTTTGTTTAGACGAATAGTTCAAGTCATTTGTCCAGAGAACTTTATCTAGAGACGAGCAGGATGAATCATCTCGATTATTAGTTTAACCCACGTGTCTAGAGGACTTCATCTTGGGATGAATGGAATGAATCATCTGGATGATCAGTGCAACTCAGATGTCCAAAGAACTTACTCCAGGGGCGAATGGTACATTTTATCTGGACAAACAGTTCAAAGTGAGAATCCAGAGAACATCATCTAGGGAAGAATATGGAAATTTTTCTGGACGATTAGGACTTAAAAAGTTTTTCTCACTTCATGTTCGTTCTATTGCTCTTCCGAGGGGATAACTGACCTGGTCGTCCCGTATGTACTTTGTTCGTCTCGTACGATCAATATAATTTTTTAAAGATTTCCCAAGTGTGTGTGTTAAGCTACTCAATTACAATCATATTCTCTCAAACTCAATACAATAAAAAATACAAACTTCAATTTACAAACTATCTCATGCTGAATTTGATTAGAAGTCTTTTTTAGTCTAGAGTTCAATTTTTCTAAAATGTTAGTCCACATAAGAGCAAAAATAATTCTTCCAAAAAGTGTTTAGGATAATATAATATTTAAAACAATAATATTTGGAATCATCAAAACTATACAGGTTGCAAGAATGTAAAACATGCAAATAGCAATTCTCTTAACACAAATATCATTAAGATAACCCTAATGCCACTCCATCCAACCATCAAGCAAAAGCAACCCCCCCTAACAATTAACTCCAATAAGCACCAAAATAAGGCTATAAAGAAAGTAGCCCCCACACTTAAAACGAGTTAAACCAGAATAAAGAAACACAAAACCATAACTAGAAGATTAAGGGCCTTCCCAAGATAACCCACACGGTCTCCACGACAATAGCAGCAGCCCAAAAAGAACACCCTCAATAACACCAGCTAAATTGAAATGAAGAGCCACCCCGGGTAACCCTGCAAACAACCAAATAATAACCAACACTCTCAAGAACTTCTCATAGTTATCTCTATTGAGTACTTTTCGGGTTTAGATGAAACCACACATTCTTTAGTTTCAAACAAACTTTATTTGTGTATCCGTCGAAGTAGATTGTCGCCAAAGATGATCATTGTCCTCACGCAAGGAGTGTTTAGCACAACTACTTTCCCTGAGCGGCCGCGCATTCATTTTTGACTTGAGTTTAAGGTCTGCCAGATATAATGGTTTGGTAGCTCGCCGTTGCGCTTGCATGAGTTCCTCTACTCCATTCATAGTAGTCTTGAAGTCAGTAGGAATGTCCTTCTTCTAAAAGTTGTTGCTTGTGGAAGTTGGTCTCACAGTCAGGAAGGCTTATACCATTACGCTCATGATCAGAATTAATGCTTGAGCATGAAAGGAACCATGGCAGAGATCTTCCAAAACTGAAGAAAAACACAACAAAAACCCGAAACCCACAGCCCCTAACAGATCTCCCATAAAAAACAACATTCAAATGGTCTAGGCAAAGAAAATTCCCATCATAGTAGCAGGAAGAAGGAGAGAAACAACTGGGATTACCTTCAATAAAGAAACCAGTACAATCATAGTTCAACCCAAAAACCCCAAAAAAGTTAACCAAGGAATGCAGCACCACATCAAAATTACAAAAAGGATCAAACCAACAAAAAAAGCTCAAGTAATAAACCAATGCCAGTAAACTTCAGCACTAACCAAGATAGGCCAACCAAGCCAAACCACTAGAAGGACAACATCACTAAAGGGATCCTCACACAAATCAATAAAATTAAAGAATGCTAAATTACATCCTAACATAACGCAAGCTTATTTTATCCAATCTTTAGATCCCTTTTAAGGGTTAATGTAAATTAGCCTCAAGAAATCAATGAAATAGTCATTCTTGCTCCAAAAATGGGCAAGCCAATTGGCACATGCATTATCCTCCCTAAGAACTTGAGAAAGGACACATTAACAAAAACCATCAACTATTTAATATACTTAACAAGGTGAAAACCCTCATAATTGCAAACCAAATCATCACTATTGTTAATGAATAGAATATTATGAATAATCTCAACCAACCTAAGGCCAAAATCAGGAGCAACATAATATTATATCTTGAAATTCTTAAAAGGTAGCAAATTAACATAAAAGAAACTCAAAATTTTGTCTTTAACATTTTTTATAATCCTTTGATAGTTAACTCTAATAACATTAAAAAGAGAGTTATTCCTCTCCATCCATAAATACCACAAAATGAGAGCATGGATAACATTTCTAATTGGACCTTTATAATTAACAAACCAAGAATTTAGTAGGGCATTAATAGACAAGTTGGCATTAAAAAAGTTTAAATTGAAAATATCATCAAAATAACACACAAATTTTTATAGATAAAGTACCAGATACAAAAACATGATGCATGTTCTCCACATGGTGACAATATTGCTAGTTGGATGGAAAGATAAAGCATCTTTTAATCAAATTATCATCAGTTGGAATTAATCTAAGTAAAGTTCACCAAATAAAAATAATAATAGTAGAAGGGATGCTTTTATGCCAAATCATAGAGAAAATACTAGTAACCACATTCTTGGTTCTAAGCACATGCTAAGCATCTATAAATCTAAAATCCCCATCTTGAGACAACAAACAAAATAAAAGATCTTCCAACTCCAAGTTCAAAGGGAAGTTTAGGAAATTTTAATAATAGAGTCAGGATTCACATTAGTAAGTTTATCATAGTCCGAATAGTTATCAGTAATGAAAAATTTTACCTTAACCGCAATAGTAGAAGAAGTATTAATGATAAAAATATGGATTGATTACCCAAACATTGATCATGCCAGAAGAAAATGTTGCCACCAACAAGTTGATAGTTAGTTAGGGATGTTAGGCCCTTTAAGAACTGGCCCAAGGCTCAATAAGAGAGGTGAATTGGTTATTTAAAACAATCTTGAAAACAAAAACACAAATAAAAACTAATGTCACCACAAAGAAAACCAAATGCGGAAATTAAATGCGGAAGTAATAAAGGAAAGAACACACCAGATTTATAGTGGTTTGGTCAAACCTTTACCTACGTCCACTCCTCGGAGGCCCCCTCCGAGTATTGCACTAAACTAAGTTTCTCTTCTTTAACACCCACAGTTAGGCGGAGTAGCCCTTAAAAAATCACTTCCACCTTCCCCGGTGCGATGGAGTCGCCGGATCCTTTGACACCAAAGAGATCTTCTTCTTTGGTGAACTTCCCTTGAGACAGGTCTTGAATCCAATGGTATTCAGGTGAAAGCTTGCCAGAGCAACCGTGCGGAACCCCCTCGACACTCCCTTGAGTCCCCCCTCACAGAATCTTCTCCCACTCTCAAACTCCACCCTTTCCTCACTCCCTTTTAAGCTCTCTCTTCAAGTTTCCCCCAAACGAACGAAGCTACAATGGCTGCCAAAGACACTTAATAAGTGTCATGTCATAGCTTAAATATAAGATCTCAAAATGAGCTCATTAATGCAACTTACCGACATTATTGTCCAGGACGATACTAATATCGTCCTGTACGATCAGTGCAATTTAAGCCCAATCAGCCAAGATGATTTGAGACGATCAGAAGAAGTTTGTTCATATCATCCAGAATGATAATATATCTTTCTGGTCGATCAGAACAAATCATTGAATATCATCCTGAACATCGCCTTGAAAAATAGCTATCTGATATCCAATCGTCCAGTGTATCGACCTAGACGATTTTGCGGTCATCTAGGATGATTTGATCTTGCAATCAAGTCATACTTGCTTTCCTTAAATTTCAGAGAAATTTTGGAAAAATTGTCCTGGATCATCCTAGATGATATTTAATAGTTCTGGATGATCCTCTAGACGATGTCCAAAAATAAGTAATTCCTATATAGATCTGGCGGCAGATTCTTTCTTTTTTGAGCCTATCATCCTGACCGATACAAAATCGTCCAGGATGATGTATTTTGCATAATGACGACTGCTTTAATGAGGATGCCCTAATTAAGGTTTCTGCTTGTGAACTGATCATTCAAGATGATATAAAATCATCCCGGATGATGTTACAAAAAATAGTAAACTCTAGGGAACCGTAAGAACTCTTTCAAGTTACAAAGCATTAGGAGCCACACCAAATACAATAGACTCAAGAAAGGAAAAAGGGTACAAACTGACTTAGACCTAGTCTACTCAATCTTGAGCTGGTTTCAAATTACAATCTAATCATGTGGACCAAAAAAGTTAGTAGATAAGGCAGTCGTAGAGAAATAAGTGTGTTTGCTATCAACAAAATCATAAACCATGAAAATAGATCAGCAATAATCTCCCCCTTTTTGATGATGGCAAACACTATAATTTGAATTTTCAAAAAGGAACATTTTCCCCTAATAGGCTCACTAGAATAACACTTTTAAAAATAGGGGATATAAAAATATTTTTGTTGTTTTTTAAATTTTTGAAAAAAAGATACAAATACGACAAAAGTACAAAAATTCAACAATACGTTCTCCTCCTTTGACATTATTAAAAAGATAATAGGCATACACAAAAAATAAAATGACCAAAAGACAAAAACGTTCCCTGATCTAGTGAAAAACAAATATTCTTAAAATGAGAAAATTACCTCTTGGTTTTATTCAAAAACTTAGTAGAATTGGATTGACAATGCATACCGCAGAAAATGTTAGAAATTCATAATTTGATAATCCAAACTCTAGTTCTTTTTAAAAGGCTCAAAAACTTTTTAATTCAATATCTAAATCATGAAATAAATTAGAGATTGAAACAATCATTTTTCAAAACTCCTTTCATAAAATATATATAATAGAAGATTAATGCATGAATTGTTGAATCAGGAATCTAGATTTAAAAATCAAGTATAAAAAATATCAAGGGTATTCTTAAGCTTTGAATAAAATATAAAAAGTAAGCATACTCTTTGTGGGCTCATTTTATGCCTCTTGTCAAGTTTTTGGCGCACCTTACGCATTTTCTCATTTGATACACTTTGTGTATCTTTTTCAATTTGGCGTCATTGCGTATCTTTTGATTTGGCGTCATTAGCAATTTTTTTTTTATTTGGCTTCATTGGCCATTTTTTTTAATATGCTACCTTTCTTAAATTTTAAAAAAGTAAATCCATTCTATTGACACAATGAACTACTTGATTAGGAAAATTATGAGGTTGATTCAACAATCTTGCAAAAGATTCCTATACGATAGATAAAATGTAGTGAGATGAAAAAAGTTCAGTTTCAAAATCTAATTTAAAATACGATGAAGATTTTAAATCAAAAGTAGAATAACCTCTTTAAGAAAATAGAGATTGAGAGTCAAAATCATGAGTTTCCTTCCTTTAACTATTTTTAGAGAAGTCAAACATAATTTTCATAAGAATTCAAGAAAAAATGTGAGGTAGGTTTTTCTTTTTTAGAAAGGTAATGTGTGTGTTGATCATAGAAAAGACACATAAAAATTTAACTAAAAAAGAAAAGTAAGAAAAATAGAATAAAAAAACAGAAAATCACAAAAACAAAATGACAAACAAAACATGTAAATATAAAAACAAATAAAGGTTTAAGCACCATCTTGCTCCTCGTCCGATTCTTCAAAGACCAAATCTGCCCAAGAGATTTTTTACTTTTTATTATTTCCCCAGTTTGAAATTTGCTTCGCTTTACTCTTTTCTTTTGCAGGAAGAATTTTAAATTAGGGCACTGATTTTTCATATGTCCAGGCTTCCTACAACAAAAGCAAATAATATCAGAAGAAATATTAACATCCTTACCATTTTTACCTTTATTCCACTTTTGTTGATGCTTATGCTTTGGTGAGATTTTTTATTTACTTGACAAGTCATTGCATGTGTCACCAACTAAGCTACCTTTTTCCATATGGTCAGCTTTTAGAACAATCTTTTCACCTGCATCCACAAGTCTTTGACCCAAACTTTGCTCATAGGCAATGAGTGAGCTAATCAAATTATTAATAGAAAATTCATTTAAATTTTTATATTCACAAATAGCAATTACTTTAGCATCAAACTTATTTAGTAGACAATGAAGAATTTTGTTAACTTTTTCAATATTTGAAAATTCATTTCCTAAAGAATGCAATGATGTCACAATTTGAATAAACCTGGTATACATGTCTAAGATCAACTCATAAGGTTTCATGGAACATAGTTCAAAATCATGCATTAACATATTCAACTTGGATTGCTTGATTTCACTAGTGCCTTCGTATATGGGGTGTAGTTTATCCCAAATTTCCTTACCAGTAGTGCACGTGGTTACTAACATAAAATCTTCAGAATTTAAAGCACAGAAAAAGTAATTTAAAGATTTTGCATTCAATTGAGCATCGATTTATTCATCTCTATTCCATTGACTAAAAGGAATATCAGTTTTAATTCTATCTAAAATACGTGACGGTGATGAATAACTAGTTAAAATCATATGACAAATGCAAAAATCAATCGATTGCAAAAAAATAGACATGCAAATTTTCCAAAAATCAAATGTAATATTTTCAAACAAAGGTGGTCTGGTGATTGAATATCCTTCCGCAATATTTTGATTTGAAAAAAATAGCCATGGATCAAAATTCAAAAAGTTTTCAAACTCAGTTTTTATGAATCCTGCTTGATACTACTTGATAGTTCATTAGGGATGTTAGGCCCTTTAAGAACTGGACCAATGCTCAATAATAGAGGTGAATTGGTTGTTTAAAACAATCTTGAAAACAAAAACACAAATCAAAACGAATGGCACCACAAAGAAAACCAAATGCTGAAATTAAATGCGGAAGTAATAAAGGAAAAAAAACACCAGATTTATCGTGGTTCGGTCAAACCTTGACCTACATCCACTCCTCGGAGGAACTCTCTGAGTATTGCACTAAACTAAGTGTCTCTCCTTTAGCCCCCACAGCTAGGCAGAGAAGCCCTTACAAAATCACTTCAACCTTCCCCGGTGCGGCAGAGTCGTCGTTCCTTTGACACCAAAGAGATCATCTTCTTTGGTGAACTTCCCTCGAGACAAGCCTTGAATCCGATGGTATTTAGGTGTGAGCTTGCCGGAGCAACCGTGTGAAACCCCGTCCACACTCCCTTGAGTCCCCCCTCACAGGATCTTCTCCCTCTCTCAAACTCCACCCTTTCCTCACTCCCTTTCAAGCTCTCTCTTCAAGTTTCCCCCAAAAGAACGAAGCTATAATGGCTGCCAAAAACATTTACAAAGTGTCATGTCATCGCTTAAATATAAGATCTCAAAACGAGCTCATTAATGCAAGTTACCGACATTATCGTCCAGGACGATACTAATATCATCCTGTACGATCAGTGCAGTTTAAGCTCAATCAGCCGAGACGATTTGAGGCGATCAGAAGGAGTTTGTTCATATCATCCAAGATGATAATATATCGTCCTGGATGATCAGAACAAATTGTGGAATATCATCCTGAACATCGCCCTAAAAAATAGATGTCTGATGTCCAATCGTACAGCATATCAACCTGGATAATTTTTCGATCGTCCAAGATGATTTAATCATGCAATCAAGTCATAATTGCTTTCCTTAAATTCCAGAGAAATTTTTGAAAAATTGTCCTGGATCATCCTAGACGATATTTAATAGTCCTGGAAGATCCTCTGGACGATTTCTAAAATTAAGTAATTCCTAAATAGATCTGGTGGCAGATTTTTTTTTATTTTAGCTTATCATCCTGGTCAATACAAAATGATCCAGGAAGATGTGTTTTGCATAATTACGACTACTTTAATGAGGATGCCCTTATTAGGGTTTCTTCTTTTGAACTGATCGTCCAGGACGATATAAAATCGTTCCGAATGATGTTACCAAAAATAGTAAACTCTAGGGCACAAACAGAAATCATCTAAGTTACAAAGTATCAGGAGCCACACCAAATACAATATACTCAAGAAAGGAAAAAGGGTACAACCTGACTCAGACCTAGTCTACCTAATCTTGAGCTACTTCCAAATTACAGTCTGATCGTGTGGACCTGAAATGTCAGTAGATAAGGCAGTCGTAGAGAAATAAGAGTGTTTGCTATCACCAAAATCATAAACCATGAAAACAGATCCGCAACACAAGTCCCCAAGAAATTTGAGGATCTATAACCCATTCAAACTTGCAAAGCCTTTGCCAAACTTTAGAATCACTAATATTAAAGGAAAAAATAGTAGGATGCTTCCCCACACAATATTTGGAATACATGAACTTAGCCCACAGACTCATTTTAGAATGAAAAGTGAACCATAACTTGAAGGAAAAAGCATGCGACAAATTAAACATGCTCTTACACCCCAGCCCGCCCTCCTTCAAAACCCCACAACATGTGCCCCAAGAAGACTAAGTAGTTTTTGTGTTACTATTTGTCCCTTTCCAAAAAAATTTATGAAGAATTTTATCAATTCTGTTACTCACAATATTAGTACACAAGAGAGTTTGGAAAGAGTAAACATGAAGAGAACAAAGAACACTTTTAATAAGAGTAAACCTACCCCCAAAACTTAAAAAATTCAAATCCCAAGACTAAAGTTAATTCTGCACAAAAGTAATTAACTCATCAAACAAAAAAGACTTCTTTTTACTTTAAAAAAAAAAAGGATACCAATATACTTAATAGGTAAATGCCTTGCACAAAACTAGTGAGGTCTTTAATAGCTGAAATATGAACATTAAACACCATATTAGAAATAATGAAACAACATTTCTTATTATTCAAAGAGAGACCACTAAATTTTCAAATTTATTAAAGAAGTGTAAGATTTTATTAATTATATTATGAGAAGCATTTGTAAAACTGATAAAATCATCAGCAAAACATAAGTGAGATATAGGGAGTCCCTTCAATGTCCTAAAATAAAGGCTAGGGTGAATTTAAAAAAGATTGGCAATGCTTCTTAAAAGATAATCAGTTATAATAATAAAAAGTGTTGAAGACATATGATATAAACCTTATCTTAAGCCATGAGAAGACTTAAAAAAACCAGAACTTTAGCTATTAATAATAATAGAAAAATATAAACCTTCAATACAATTTCTAATAATGTTAATGAAAACCAAGCTAAAACCAAATAATTGCATAATATTATAAAGGGATATTCAATTAATATTATCATAGGCCTTAGAGATATCAAGCTGTAGGATCATATTACCACCCATCACCTTGAAATCCAAATCATGGTAGAATTCCTAGGCCAAAAAAATATTTTCAGAGATCACAAGACCTTTAATAAAGCCCATTTAAAAAGGAGAGATGAATTTAGGAATAAAAACAATTAAATGATTCATAATAATTTTAGAAATAAACTTACTTAAAAAGGTGCAAAGATTAATTGGTATAAAATCATTCCAATTGCTAACATCATTACTCTTGGGATTAAGAACAATAGAAGTAGATGTAAAAAACTCAGGCTTAGCATGGCCGACAAAAAACTACAAAATAGCTTAGTAGAGATCAACACTAATAATAAGCCAAGATTTTTGAAAAAAATTAGTAGTAAACTCATCCGGAGCAGCCACAGAGTCACCATTCGTATCATAAACTATATCTTTTAATTCATCAAAAGAAGGGGGTTTAGAAAGAAAATCATTATTCTCATGCGATATAAGGTTAGGAAAAAAAGTAGAATTCTTAATATTCCTAGGGGTAAATTCCTTATTATGCTGATTATGAAAATGTTGCATAGCCAATAAAGCAATTTCCTCACAATTCTTAGTAACAGACCCATCCTCATGTTTAATTTTGTTAATGGGGTTCTTAGCACACTTCATTTTGACCAAAGCATGAAAATACTTTGTATTATTATCACCTTCCACCAAATGCTTTGAAGCTGTTTTTTGTTTCCAAAAAAATTCCTCTTGGGCTTGAAGTTTAAAGAGAAGTTAGTATCAGAAGGAGACACTTGATAATTAAGCTCAACATTGTTAACAGTATCTTTTACACTTAAGATACTAGCAAAGATATTTTTAAAAATATTGTGATTCCACCAATTTAGGAGTTTTTTCAATCTTTTCAATTTGAACCAAAATCTTATAATGCCAAGGACAGAGTTATCAAGATCTGACGGGGCCAACAAATTCTCCTGAACCACGTTTAAAAAGGAATCATGATGTAACCACATATTTTGAAATCAAAATTCAGGAAATGTATTCACATGTCTAGTATTAAGCCCAAGTAACAAATGAGAATGATAAAAAGTGTACGACTAAGATGTTCAATAGAAATAGAGTTAAAAGAGTGAAGTCAGCTATCATTAAAAAGAACATGATCTAGCCATTGCCGAAAATGACCACAGTTCCAAGTAAATTTGTTACCAGAAAAACAAAAATCAATGAGATTACAATCCATAATCATATTATTAAAGTTCTCCATAGTGTAAAAGATTGGAGTTAAACCCCCAATACGCTCTGAAGGATTAGAAATAGTGTTAAAATCACCACCCACCAACCAAGGAAAAGGTCAAATACTATGAAAATTAGATAACTGGTCCTAAAGAACTTTTTTAACACCACGAGAAAAGGTAGCATAAATAAAAGAGCCACAACTATTTATATTTAAAATATCTATATTTCATTGTAGAACTTGAGTAAAATCACCAAGAATATCAATATGATCCGAATCTTTCCAAAATAACCAAATTTTATTAGCAGAGTTTGAAGTAGCATGCTTGAAACCTAAACATTTAGCAGTAATAAGTAATTTAGAAGCATTAATAAGAAGTTTATGTAAAACAAGAATAGACACATCATGGATATGACATAAATTGTTAACCCTCAAATGAGAAGAAGGGAACCTAATGCCCTAACATTCTAAATAATAGACTTAAACATAAAAAGAGAACTAACGACTAGTTTGTGAATGGGTGTACCTTGTCGATTCTAAAATAAGTTTCTTACTCTTTCTACCATGCTTATTTTGTAATTTAATGAAACTAGTATCATGGTCATCTTTAGCCAAGCATTTTATAGAAAAATCTAACATTCTTTAGTGTCAAGAAAAACATCACTATGATAATGAGAGTTAGAGGGTGACTTACAATCGATTATCAGATCATTATCCTTACCCTTTGGAGGAGGTTCGCCATCCTCCAACAAATCTCCATCAATATTTTCATTGCTATTCAAAGAAAGTTCCACATTCTCTTCCATAACAAGATCCAACTCACTTACCCTCAAGTTATTGTCCATCCCCATGTGCTCTCTACCATTCCTTTCACTTCTAGAAGCAGTTCCCTGTTTATTCACAACAGATTGAGTGGAATCAATATTAATACACTTATTGTTATTCAACATACAATCCTTAACTAGCACTTCAGAGGTAACATTATTTTGAGGGGAAGAAGTAGTTAAACATTTGTTCATCCAAATTATCACATTTATTAAATAAGCTAGTAATGTTAATAATAATATTGTCTTGAGCACACGGAGGATCATCTGCAATGTCAGTGGATGGAGGCACATGCACAGTGACAAGGGCTAGTTCAGTATGCACTAGTATAGTTTCATCACACGATTTGGAACTATTTCTTTCAACTTCAACGCAAGTAAGATTTTCATTCTCAAGAGAAGATGCAGTAACATCATTGCCTTGAGGTTGTTTGGAAACTACTTTCTATTTATAAAGTTGAGGGTGCAACCAGAAACATTCATTAACACAAAGACCATGCATTTTACAATTAGAATAGAGAATAGGTAGGCTTTCAAATTTAGCTTTTTAAAATTAACTATTGAACTCTGATCCTATCCATACTTCATTAGGGTATTTCTTTGAAATATCAAGTTCCACAAGAACATGTGCCGCCGAAGGGCGTGAGATAGATATCATGGCTTAATCCATTTGTAACGGTCTACTAAAAAAAGAAGCAAGCCAAAATAAAATTTTTGAGTTAAAATAAATGTAGCCTTAAGTTGGGGAATGAAATACACATGGGAGTAATAGGTGATTTTTCCCTAACGTCAAAGTTCGGTGTCCATTTGAGGAGATGCATTTGATAAGTTTGAATATAGTATGACCTCCTAGAAAAGATGTGGCTATTGTCAAGGTCATTTGTAAGTTGGATCCCTATATGTCGTGGGTCCAACAATCATTTTTTTTAGTAGTGCAAATTTGTATTAAAAGAGAAGAAACAACCTATTACCAGCTAATCACAAATTGCAGATAACATATTCCTTCTTCAACATGTCAAACAAGGAAGAAGGAATATCAAAATAGGTAAAAGAATGAAAGCAAAAGTTATTATCTAATGCAAGAGAGGCACATAAATCTGCCACCTTGTTACAAATTCTAGAAGTATGAAGGAAAATCACCTTATTAAACTCCAAAAGAAAAGAGATCTTCTCCGAAATCTGGTTGTTGTGCATAGATTTCTTCATATAATCTTGAAGGAACTTGATAACGTTGTAGTTATCTCCCTCAATTATTAAACCTTTGCTATCAAATATCCATTCGGCAATGAAATCTTTCAAGGAGAAAATAGCTTCTAATTCGAGTTGATTAATATCCCAATGACGCTGTTGTTTTCCAAAGGCTAAGAGCGGTTTATCCATGGAGTCACGAACAACACCACCAATACTAGCCAAATTTGAATCAACCAAAGATGCATCAACATTAATTTTAATCCAATCCGGTGGTAGGGGATGCCAAGAAGGATCAAACTCACAATGGAGAGAGGCATCCCAGTTAACCAGCATTGAATTCCTATTAGTGGCCATAAATAGGACATTTGCAGCAATAACCGATGTTGGCAGCAAAGGACCTCCATGCTTGAAGTTATTTCTGCCATTCCAAGAATAGAAGAAAGCAGTACAATATATCCTGGCAATGTCAAGACTACAATTCGAGAAGTGTCTTAAGTGATAAAGACAATCAGCAAGCGATCTGTAGATAGGAACATTAATCCCCCATGATCTCAACATTTTGATTATATCAATAAGAAACTTACAATGGACCACAACATGAGCACTGCTCTTCACCTCAGAGCAACCTATTGCACACCGATCGGTATTACCAATGCGTCTATACATCAAAAACTCATTAGTGGGTATGGCAAACTTACCCAATCTCCACCAAAAGAGTTCAATTCTTGGTCTGAGGTGTAGTTTCCGAAGCCAAGCAGTGAAGCCAGAATCATCCAGTGGGTTGAGAGATTTAGTGGATTCGGCATATGCTAATGATGAGATAGATTTACCAGAATGCTGATAAAGGAGCTCCATATGATCATCATCACCAGCATGAATTACACCATTATGGACAATAAGATTAACCAAGTTGTCGTTAAAAAACTGCTTGAGTTCCGTCAGATTCCAATTCCCGTCTTCAAGGATGAAATTGTTTAATGTCAAGTTCTCCATATTGACACAATCCTCAAGAATTGGCCACTTATTGAAACATTTATCAAGAAGCCAAACATCATTCATAATATTGATACTAGTTCCTTTTCCAATCTTCCATTTGACAATAGGCTTAAGAAAATTAGTGCCGTCCAAAATGATTGAACAAGCAGCAGATTTTCCATTTCTGTGTTTGCCATTCCAAATATCAATACCATACTTGGAAGCAAGACATTTATAAAGCAGAGAAGAGGGGTTTTGGAAGAATCTCCAAGCAATCCTAGCACGAAGGGGTCCAATTTTCTTGACAACCGAGAACAAACCCATTCCTCCAATGGCTCTTGGTACACAAAAATCATCCCATGAAACATAGTGAAGGCCCCTAGTTTCCGAATTATGATGCCAAATGAAATCCCTGTAAATGCGATCTAACTCATACAAGATGCTCTTGGGGATCAATGAATGGGAAGAGATAAAAGTAGGCAGAGATAGCAGAGAAGATTTGGCGAGAGTCATCCTTCCAGCAATAGATAAAGATCTTGCACTCCATGTATTTAGCTTCTCCAAGGCGGGATCCACGACAAAATCGAAATCGCTCTTAACCAACCACCTAAGAGCAATTCTTATGCCCAGATATTGAAATTCATCCACAATTTTAATACCAAACTTTTTACCAATTTTCCGTCCGATAGTCTGTCTAACAGAATTACTGAACAGGATTTGTGATTTGTCTTTATTAATGCCCTGCCTGGTCCAACCACAGTAATCCCTGATTAAGTTCAACATTATACGAAGCTTAGAGGAGGATGCTTGATTGAACAACAAAATATCATCTGCGTAAAGAAGATGAGTTATTCTAGGTGCTCTTGGAGAGGTATGGATACCCAAATGATGGCCTCTTTTATTGATGACATTGGTGAGGAGCTGAGAGCATAAAATGTAAAGATAGGGTGACATCAGACAACCCTGTCTAAAACCACTCTTGGCTTCAATCCATCTAGAGCTTTTTCCATTAAGAAGGATAGAAAAATGAACATTAGTAACACATTCTAAAACAAGGAGAGAGAAGTTTTCTGGATAGCCAAACCAGTTGAGAACAAGCTTCAGAGTCTCCCAACTCATGCAATCAAAGGCTTGTGCCATATCAAGCTTAACAACCATGAGTCCCTTCCCGTGCTTAGAGATCTTGAATTTGTTGAAAATTTCCAATGCCAAGAGGAAATGATCATATAAAGACCGTCCCGGGATGAAGGCCACCTGCTCAGCTGAGATGAATTTATCAATACAACATTTGAGTCTATTGACCAGCATTGTGGTTGCAATTTTGTAAATAGTCTGACAGAGGCTGATGGGCCGAAAGTTGGATGGAGAGACCAGAAATTTGATTTTTGGAATGAGAACAACCAACGTATCCTTCCAATTACAATGCATATTCCTAGTGATGAGAAACTTTCTAACAGCATTCCATGTAACCACTTTAACGGTATCCCAATAAAATTTAAAAAAGGAAGAAGTACTACCATCAAGTCCTGGAGACTTATTGGAACTCTGTTAAAAAACTGCAGCAGTAAATTCTTCCTCAGTAAACTCAGCTTCCAGGAAAGCTCAGTCAATTGCATTGATTCACTGTTCTGGATCAACCTTAGGCCATTTTAAGTTGTTGCAATCACGATGCTTCCACTTTTCTTCAAAGAAATTTAAGAAAACTATTCAATGAGGTCTTCATCATCCACCATCACATTGTTTATATCTTTAATCTGTTGGATCATATTCCCGTTCTTTCTAGCCGATGCATAAGTGTGATAAAATCTAGAGTTGTTGTCACCCTCCTCATTCCAAACAGCCTTAGCATGTTGATTCCACCACATGGAAAGCCTAAGCAATGTGGTGTTAAGTTCCTTAACCTTCCCCCGTAAAAGAGCAAGATTTTCGGTACTAAGACCACCTTCAGCTTCCTCTAGCAACTGAAGGTTGAGAATGTCATTCTTTAAATCTTCTTTGAGTAAATCCAACTTCTTACACTTGTTCTTATTCCAGAAAAAGAGCGATTTAAGTGTTCTCTTGATTTTTCTGTTAAGGATATCAGCTTCTTCGCCAAAGTCGTGCCTACCCCAAGCATCGGCAACTATCTTCCTTGTGGCAGGATAAGATTTCCAAGTATGTTCAAATCTGAAGTTCTTGGCTTTAGTGTGTTGCTTATCATCAATTTTGAAAACAAGCGGGCATTGGTCAGAGGAAACTCTCGCTAAATGCTTGACAGTAGCGGTTGGTACAAGCAGAAGTGCCGCAGAATTCAACAGAAAATGATCAAGACGTTCCAAGATTCTGGCATTTCCCTGTTTGTTATTACACCAAGTATATCTTGGGCCGACCACGTTCAAATCGTGGAGATCCTGATTGGCCATAAAGAGTCTCATCTCCTTGATGCCTTTGGACAAACAAAATCTGTTACCACCCCTTTTGTCTGCCCTTGAAAGAAGACAATTAAAATCACCTCCTACTATAATAGGTAATTCCTCTGTCATAAGTTGCTCGAGAATTCTCCAAAGATCACGATGGACCTGTAACTCTTTATTACCATACACTGTTGCCACATTCCAATTTACATTCATAGGAGTTTTCAAAACACCAAAAACTACCTGAGAGGAGTGGGCCGTTACAGTAAAAGATACCAAGCTATTCCTCCACAAAACAAGGATGCCACCAGCTAAACCGACAGCCTATTGATGATAGAAATCCCAATCGTTGCCAATAATCTTATTGACCATCTTTCTATCAATAAGAGATAATTTAGTTTCAGCAAGACCTATAAAGAAAACAGCATTGTCCTTCACAATCTCTTTGAGGTAGAGGGCGGTCTCCTTCTTCTTCACCCCTCTACAATTCTAGAATATGAGGGAAGACATTAAATAATAGAAGGGGAAAATTCCCCTCCTTTCTTCTTGCCTTTTCCGTCGACTTTCCTCTTCCTGGATGAAGATTCAATGGGTCCCAGGAATTTTAATTGGGGTTTGGGTTTCAATTTCCTGGTAATGTCAGTACCCATAATTTCAGCACTCTCATTAATGTCATTACCAACCTTTGGAACCAAGTTCAGATGAATCTTAGAAGTCTTCAACTCACTGGAAAGAACAATAGGATTATCCTCAGCATCTACATGTGTGACATGTTTATGAGGGCTAACTTGAGAAGCTTTCAAAACCAAAGAAGAAAGATCGCCCATCTCATCAAGCGAAGCTGGTTTATCAATAATCCCAACAGGATCGGGAATATCTGCAACATTATCAGCTATCTGATTCAATTCTTTTCCAACCAACACATTGAAGCTATTCGATAAACAGATGTTGTCTGCAGAACTATTGACTTTCAAAGTTTTATCATTATTAATATGCAGTGTATTAATCACAGTTGGGTCCTTAATATTGTCAGGAATATTATTCCTAGTAATGAATTGCTTTTCCTTAAAATTTTGTCCCATCTGATTCGCTTTGAAGTTGGATCTCTTTTTGAATTTTATGTGGATCCACGGACCATAATTTTCCTGAACATTATTGTGAGAAATAGACTGGTTTGCTTTATCATTCAAATCTTCATTATGCTCAGCAGATTTGAAAACAAGATCTGAAAAATCAGCTTTTAAATGTCCGATTCTGGCACAGTGAAAGCAAAAGGAAGACAACTTCTCATATTCTACCTTTTGGAAAAATCTTCCTCCTATACCGTCAACCCAGATTCTAGATGGCAGTTTGGATTCAAGATCAACTCGCACACAAACGCGAGCAAATTCCTTCTTGCTCCAATTAAGAGAATTCCCATCTAAAAACATTGGGGTACCAACTCTAGAGGCAATCTTAGCGATATTGACTTCATCCCAACAGTGTAGTGAAAGCAACGGAAACCGAATCCAAACTGGTGCAGTTAGGCCTTTTAGCGATAACGGTGAAAAAGATGGAGACCATCTGTCCAAACCCACAATATGGCCTCCAATGTACCACGGTCCCCCGCTAAGAACTTCTTCCATCGCATCAGAGGACTTGAAAGAACAAAGTACCCAATTCAAGCCTAAAGAAGTCAAGTGAAAATTACCAAAATGGCTCCATTATTTGCAGAGTTCAATACTGCATATTGAGAACGGGATATGTTTCCCCAATACTTTTAGAACAACAGAGTTCGACAGGATCTTCGAGTTCGCAACCTCATTTTTTGAATTTAATTTGACCGCCACACCATATGAAGATAATTCAATAGAATTCATATCGAAATGTAATTTGATATGATTTGTCTTCTTCCAGGCGTCAATAAAAGAATTTTTCAGATTAACCTTATTATCATCAGGGATATCAAAGTTATTAACCAATGGAACAGTAGTATTCCAGATCTCAATTGGTTAAACAACATTCACAAAATTCTTCACCAGAACACAATTATATGAACCATCACTGATAATGGTTTGTTTTTTGAAGATCTGAGCCGAAGAATTCAACACTTCTTGATCCAGTGATCCAAATGAAATACCCTTAGAAGCAGAATTTGTTTCTGTGGTGGTGATGCGGTTAAGAAATTTGACATTCAAAGGATTAACCACACCTTTACCTAAGGGAATCGAATTATCATGTTGGGCAATAGATCCAAAACCATTTTGACTGATAAGAGTTTTAGAACCCAATCTTGATTTCATACAACCGTCGAAGCCAATGACGAAAGAATGAGGAGAGGACGATGGAACAGTAGACAAAGATTGAAATTCATCAGATCGGTGACGATCTGGAGGATCAGATGATGAAAGGAACCCATGAGTTTCAAGCAAAAAAATTTCTTTTGGATAACATCCATATTCAACTGAGGAAGAAGAAACCTTTTAATGAGAGTAAGCATAAAAGGAGTGGATAACTGAGAAACCATCACCTCATCAAACATTAATGATGGGCAACCCTTGAAGGAGGTTTGCACAAAATAATGTTTAGCCATAGAATAAGAGGAACCATATAAAACCTCCTTGAATAACCTATAATAGCCATCTGGAATCGTTGAAATATGAGGGTTAGATTATAATTGAGTGGTCAAATCCTAAGCATAATAACACTGAAAAAAACCTCAAAGGAAAGTCGTGAAAGAGATGAAAAAAGTCCAAGGAGAAAAAATGAGAAAAAAATTAGCAGTGAAAATTGCTAAGAGATCAAAACCCAAACTCAGGAATAGAAGCCTTAAATTTCCCAGGAATCACTAGAGAGTAGCTATATATCCACCTTTGTCATAGAACATAGGAATTTAGAAACTTTTGTACTTTAATTCAGAGGATATAGGGTGTGAAATTTTTTCAATTCAAAGTGATCATGGAGTAGAATTTGAAAATAAAAAATTTGAAGATTTTTATTAATATAAAGGAATTGATCACAATGTTTTAGCACCTAAGACCCTGTAGTAGAATAAGGTAGTTTAAGGAAAGAACAAAATATTAATCGAAGCTACTATAGCCATGTTGGCTGAATACGCACTTCCAAAATATTTTTAGGATGTAGTGGTTAGTACAGCTTATTATATTTTGAATAGGGTGAACATCAAATCAAAATTGAATAAGACACCCTATAAACTTCTTTAGGGTAGAAAACTTAATCTTTGACATTTTTTATTTTTTTTGGTGCAAGGTGTTCATTAAAAATAATGGTAAAACTTCATTAGGATAATTTAATCCAAAAGCAGATGAATGAATTTTTCTTCAATATTATAACATTAGTAAATCCTATAGAGTTTTTAATAAAAGAACTTTGGTAGTTAAGGAGATCGCACATGTTATTTTTGATGAGTTTGACATTTTGGAAGAGTAAATGTTGGAACAATATCATATTAAAAATATCTCCCAAGGAATTGAGAAGATAATTTTTGAAGAAGAGGTTGGAAAAGAGAACCCTTTGACTAGAGAATGAAGATTTTTTTAGAATCACCCTAAGGAATTAATTTTAGGTGAATCTTGTGAGTATGTTAGAACTATGCATGGACTTAACAAAGAAGTGAACCATTCTTCCTTTATATCAATGGTTGAACTGACTAATATAAATGAAGCATTTTTGGATGAATTTTGAATTTTGGCTATGTAGGAAGAATTAAATCAATTTATTAGAAATGATGTTTGAGAATTAATTGAAAGGCCTAAGAATCAAAGTTTTATTAGAACTAAGTGGGTGTTCAAAAAAAAAAAGAGTGATTCATGAGTTGTGATTAGAAATAAGGCAAGATTGGTGGCCATGGGGTATAATCAAATTAAAAGGATCAATTTTGAAGAAATTGTAGCCCCTATAGCTAGACTGGAAGCAATTAAGGTTTTATTAACATTTTCCATTTTTAAAGGCTTTAAATTGTATCAAATAGATGTTAAGAGTGCCTTTCCTAATGATGTGATATAAGATGATGTTTAGATTGAGAAACCTCTAGGTTTTGAAAATTCTAAATTCCCTAATCATGTGTTTAAATTAAAAAAAAAGACATTATATGAATTGAAACAGACTCCTACGGCTTGGTATGAGAGGTTAAGCACTTTCCTATTAGAGAAATAATTTGTGAAGGGAAGTGTGGACACCACTCTCTATTTGAAAAGGATAGGAGATAAAACAGTCATTATTTAAATATATGTTGATGATATCTAGTTTGGATCTACAAATAAAAATCTTTGTGATGATTTTTTAAATGTAATGAGTAGTAAATTTGAGATGAGTTTGATAGGAGATTTGAGTTATTTTCTTGGTTTTGGCATTAGGCAGAATGAGGAATGAACTTTTCTTTGTCAATCAATGTATTCTTAGGATATCCTTAAGAAATATGAAATGGATAATGCTAAACTAGTGACTATGCCAATGAATTTTTCAGCGTAATTAGATAAGGACTCTATGGGAAAATCTGTTGATCAAAAAATATTTAGAGGTAGAATTGAATCATTACTTTACTTAACTGCTAGGAGACATAATATAATCTTCAGTTTTTATTTGTGTACTAGATTTTAATCTGATCCAAAGGAATCACATTTGACAACAGTTAAAATAATACTGTGATATTATTTGGAAAATCAAAACTTAGGGAATTGGTATCCTAAGCACAACTCTTATTTTGAAATTATTAGATATTCATATTCTTATTTGTAGGATGTAGGGTTGATTGGAAAAGTTCATCTAAAACTTCTCAATTTATTGAAAACTCTTTAGTTTCATAGTTCAATAGGAAACAGAATTGTGTAACCCTATATATTGTTGAAGAAGAATACATTGACTTACATAGTTATGTGACACAAGTTCTTTAGTCAAAATAATAATTTATTGGCTTAGGATTTTCGATTGGCATAATTCTAATTTTTTGTAATAATACTAGTGTCATAAACATTTCATAGATCCCTATTCAACATTCTAGAACCAAGCATATAGACATAAAAAATCACTTCATTAAAAATCCTGTAACTAAGGGAGAAATTTAATTGCATAACGTTGCTACGAAAAATTAACTTGTATACATATTCACAAAATCATTGGCTTTTGGCACATTTAGCTCTTTAACGACCAGATTAGGTGTGATTATATATTAATGCTTAAATTTAAATTTTGTAAACTTGATTTGTTGTGTATATATATATATATATATATATTAGGTTGATTGCAAGAGTTTGTTGTTTGTATTTTATTTTTATTGGTTTGTTTATTTCTTGATTGTTTTCTCTTTTGTTAGTTTTATGCTTGCTTTGTTTTTGATTTTACTAGAAGAATGTCAATTTGTTTGTATAGGATTTCTTTTTATTATGTCTTATTTTTTAATTTTTCTTTTCGTATTATATGAAATTTTTCATACTGTACAAATTCTATAGCATGTACAAGATAGGTTTTTGAGTTTAGTACACCAAACTAAGTTTTTATTTTTATTTTCATATTATAAAATAATGTCATCATTCTGTATGATATGTGTTATTTCATCGTTATTATTGGGGACTATTTTTCAGAAAATGTCAGTTATTGATCACATATCATATGTACAAAAAATCACATTTCATATATATGATCATTTTGTTAGTTTCTTTTGGGGATGAAACTAACCATCATAAAATGATCTTTAATATTCTACCCATCCTGGATGAACACATGTTCATCTGTATGATCCAATGGTCAAAATGTATGTACAAAAGGATGCCTCGAAATAACATTTTATGAAAAGTTCTTTCTTTTTTGGCCGTATACATTCGTATGTACAAAATTATTTTCATCACGTATGATTTTAAAATTATATGTATGATCCATATTTTGTACTGTATGATAGGTCATTTTTCTTTAAATAGAATGATCTTGAAAAAGTTTTTCTTCACATTCTTGTCCGTTCCAAACCTTCTAGAGTCCAAATCTTAAGAATAGCAAGCAGTCGCAAACAACCCCGCACCTCTAAGGGATATTCCACCTAATCTTATAGGGATGATAATTTTTGGTCCAAAGAGAATGAGGATGTTTTTATGGGTATTTTGCTGCAAAAATTTCCACTTCCCGACTCCTCATTTAGAATGATATCAATTTCTCTATCATGCACCTATTCACGCCAACCCTGTTTTTATTTATCATGACTCTCATATATGCCTTTCATAAAGAAACCATTCAAAATTTTTTGTACAACATGAAAGTAAATCAAGGCCATACTAGGATTTCCTAAGAACCCAATGAATTAGAGCACGCACCATTACCTCTAGAGCCAAATTTAATTGGTCAGAAATAAATCAAACTCTTAGAGGTGTTGCCCAAGTTAGTAATCTATCTCATGTGTACACTCTCAATCAAAATGCCTCGATTATCTAGCAAGTTTTGAGACCTTCAATTATTCCAAAAGTTGGTGATCACATTAACTTGACTCCTCTTTTGTCCACAGTCACTTATTTTATAATAAATAAAAAAACTTTTGATGAAGCCCAACTTATCATGGATTAAATTTACAAACTCTCTGATATTGGACTTCCTCATAATTAGACAAAGAAAAATGTGGCTTTAGGGCATCTAGTTGCTTATA